TCCTATGGTGTTTCCCCCAGAAATTAGGGTTTAGTTCATGACGAAATCAAAAAATATAATCATATTCTTAATCATCATGTCACGAATCAAAGCTAAGGAAAAAATACTGAAATTTTCTTCCCCTGCTCGCGATCGCCGCCAAGCGCAGCTGCTCTCCGCTCGTCCCAACCGCCTTGCGCTGTCCCGCTGCTTTTTCCTCCTCCAATCGAAGTCCCAGCTGCTCCAAGAATCCGCGCGACTGCTCCAATTATTCCCTCTCGTCCCCACAATTCCCCTCCAAGCCCTCCGGTCCAATTTAATCAAAAGAATGGCCCCTCGTGTAATTCCCTGGCCGCCACTTTTATTTCTCCCCTTTGCAATTAATTAAATGGACTTGGAGGGAAGAGAGTATGGGCGCTGGCCCATTAGCTGCTGCCGGTGAATATGTGAAATTGGGCTAGCAAAGTTGGCCCCAACCGGTTGGTTTGCTTATTAGCTGGATAGCTGGTCCTCAGCCTGATTTGTTTTGCATTTGACATATGTTTGTGCATTTCTTGTTCCTTGCTTTTTTCATCTAAAATATATCACAACACTAACACATGGCGGTAATTAGGGGTGGCTATACGGTCCGGTCCGGTTAAATTGGCCCAAATTGATCCGGTCCAGTCCGGTTTTTTTGAAAATATAAGGACCAAAGATTGGATTGGATACAGTCCGGTCTTGATCCGGTCCGGTCTTGACCCGGTCCGGTCCCAATTCGGTCTTGATTTTATATTGAGATTGTGGGAATTTGAGTGGCCTAAGGCCTAAAAGGGTGAGGAGTTGGTTAAGTTTTGTACTAAGTGCAAAGGTTTGTGACCGTTTATGCAAATTACCCTTAAGTTTTGGGTGTTAAGCTCTCTTATCCGGTCTTTATCCGGTTTTTTACCTCAAATCTAAGCCCAAAGATTGGATTGGATTGTTTACTATCCGGTCCCGGTCCGGTCTCGGTCCGGGTTATACGGTCCGGTTTCCGGTTTTTCATCCGGTCCCGGTCCAAATAGCCAGCCCTAGCGGTAATGGTCTTACAACCATTCCATAGTCAATTGGCCCTAAACCAAGCATCATATATCTCAAACATATCATGAAACAATCACATTAAGCACAGAAAATCAATATGTTTTCGACAATTATCAAGCTACAAGTCTAGATGCCAAGCTGGATTCTAAGTTCGATGCACTTGAACGAAGGCTGGCCAAGATTGCTCTGGGTAGACAAGAGGAGGTTGCTTCATGTGAACTTTGCGAGGGTCCTCGTCATAGGGATATGTGTCCACTGGGAGCTGCATAGTTGGAAGATGTCCAATATATCAATAATCCGCGAAGGCAAGGCCAGGTTGGTATGTATTCAAATACATACAACCCTCAATGGAGACATCACCCCAACATGTCATGTTCGAATAATAATCCAGCTGGTGTTCGAAACATCCCACCTCCTGGTTTTCAGCAGCAGCAACCATCAACAATAATATGCAATCATCTATGCTAGCTATGGAGAGGCAAATAGGCCAGATGACTCAAACTTTGGCAGATATTCAAGGTAGGATTCCTGGGATTTTACCAGCAAATACTGAGAGAAATCCAAAGGATGCCATGGTTGTAGCAGTCACATTGAGGAGTGGGAAGGAGTTGGAGGATCCAAAGAACAAGAAAAATCCAGTAGGAAAGGAGGGCAAAGCAGCTGCAGAGGAAGAAAGTGCAAAAGCTAAAAAATCTGACTTGCACAGGCAAACTGCATGCAATCTGCATGTGCATGAGCATTCTGCCTGTGTACCTCCAAAGGTGGACAAATTCAAGAATGAAGAGGTAAAGCCTTATGAACCTCCCGCACCATTCCCTCAAAGGTTAATGAAGCCAATGGAAGACCCAAACTTCAAGAAATTTGTTAATATCTTCAAGCAACTTCATATCAACATACCGTTGACGGAGGCACTTGAACAGATGCCTACATATGCTAAATTCTTAAGGAAGTTGCTGACAAAGAAGCGCAAATGGGCTGATCTGGAGAAGGTAACCCTTACTTCTGAATGTAGTGTTGTGATTCAGAATAAATTACCAGAAAAGAGGGATGATCAGGGCAGCTTCACCATTCCATGTGTCATTGTAGGTACAGAGTTCGATAAATCACTTTGTGATCTTGGGCAGGAATTAATTTGATGCCATACTCAGTCTACAAGAAATTGGGATTGGGAGATGTTCTTAAGCCGACTCGGATCATCTCCAATTGGCTGATCGATCAGTGAAAATTCCGAATTGGCTGATCGATCAGGGCAGCTTCACCATTCCATGTGTCATTGGAGGTACAGAGTTCGATAAATCACTTTGTGATCTTGGAGCAGGAATTAATTTGATGCCATACTCAGTCTACAAGAAATTGGGATTGGGAGATGTTCTTAAGCCGACTCGGATCACTCTCCAATTGGTTGATCGATTAGTGAAAATTCCGAAGGGTGTGGTGGAGAATGTATTGGTGAAGGTGGGGAAGTTTATTCTCCCAACAGATTTTGTAATTCTGGAGATGGAAGATGATCGGTGAGTGCCTCTCATTCTTGGTAGACCTTTTCTAGCAACTGAAGATGCACTCATTGATATTGGAGAGGCAAGTTGACATTCCGAGTAGGTAAGGAGGAGGAAATTTTTGCTGTCTTTCAAGTTGATCATAATCACGATGCAATTGATGACTTTGGAAGTGGAGCTCGAGAAAAGAAAAATTCCTCTTCCTGTGATAGTGAACCACCAGAAGAACGATCACATGTCCTATCAGCTCAAAGTCTGAAATTAAAGCAAGGGCAGAAATCTTTGCCAGGGCACCTCAAGTATAGATATTTGGGCAAGGATTTCAATCTTCCTGTTATTATTCCTTCTTCACTGACATTGAACTAGGAAGAGTACTTGTTTGAGGCGCTGCAGTACCACCTACTCCTCACTAAAGGATCCAACATGCCAACTATGAAGGTCATACCAAATTTTCGCACACCTGGCCCTGCAGAGGTGACTCATATGTTGGATGGAGGGTATGCGTTCTATCATTGCTCGAGAGGGTATTCTGGATACCTTTCCATACCTATTGGTTGAAAGCTCCATGAACGTCAGACTGAGGACGTTAAACAAGCGCTTCCTGGGAGGCAACCCAAGGTGAGTTTTCTTTTCTTTATTTTTTCTTTTTTTTGTTGTGTCAAACCCGTGCATGTTTAGATTAGGGGTTGAACATTAGGGACAGTGTTCCATCCTAAGTGTGGGGTGGTGAGTCTTAGTGTTGTTTGTCCCTATTGCATGTGGAAAAAAAGCCCAAAAAAAAAACTTTCATTTGGGTTGTGCACAGCCAAACTGCATGCAGTCTACCTGTGCTGGTGCAGTCTGTAAAACGTATTTGTGTGTAAGCATATCCGATCACACTAGATTTTGAATGAGTTAAGATCTGAGGGTTGAAATCAAATTAATTTTCTAATCCTTACTTTTTCTAATCAATTTATATCTCCTTCCTTTTAATGTAATAAAAAAAATTGTAAAAAAAAAACAAGCTCATCGTGGTTTACAAAATTATTGTCATTTTCGATATATTTCACGAAAACAATTTCGACCAATTATACCACTTTCTTACACCCACTACAACTGCACACCTCCTTTGCTCTAACTCATATGTAGAAAAATTGCACAGAAAAAACTATTCCACGTTGATTTACTAATTATACGAGACCAAGAGTTTTTTGGACCAATCATACGACACTCTATCACTATCTATCAATGTAGTATATTCTTTCACTAACCTGATTGTATGTACAAGTATGACACCCTAAACTTAACAGTCGAGATAACATTTCATCCTATAACCAGGAAAGAAACAAAACAAACAGATACACAAGCTAGCTGTGTAATTCCGAAACAGGAGTTCCTCTTAACAAACTCCAGTATAGTCACATTCTGTCGCAAACCTTACTTACTGAGTATTTGTTCATGACCTCTCCCTTTCTAATAACTTCATTCTTAGTGACTTTCATGTGTCTTTCCCACCACAATCATTGCCTTAAGAATTTTATTCCGAGCTATGACCCTGGAGTGCTGACTTGTTAGAAAGTAACATTTCTAAGCCTACATAGTGAGCTTTAATATGCTAGACAAGCACATACATGTCTGGCTACAGAAATCGTGTTTCAGAGTTTCCAAATTTTTGAAAGTGAGCTTCCCTGCTATCAGAGTGACACCTAGATATCTAGCCAACGGCTATAGTGATCCCTGATTATATCCTCACTGAGTAATAACATCACCCTTCAACTCATCCTCCAATTATGCACAAAACAATTCAATTTTCTCAGGTACTCGAATTTCTATAAAACTTATCCAGAATCTCAACTACAACCTTTACAGCTCTCACATATTTATGAGTGAAAATTAATTGATCATCAGCAAAGAGCCAAAGACTAAATGAGTCAGACATATTATTTTGCATTGATGATGAAAGGGTATATGGTTTGCACTACTAGCCCTATTTAACATGCATGAAAATACCTCTATTAATATTGTTAGGAGATCCCCCTACTTTAGAGACCCATCTTAGATAAAAAAAAATTTACACTCAAACCTCCATTAAAGCGGACCTGCACTCGACAAATATCTCCTAACCCAGTTGATGAATTTTGTTGGAAACCCCAGTGCAACCATAATAACAATCAAAAAGTTTCACTTAACACTGTCAAACGCCTTCATGATATCAACGTACACAACACATCTAGAAGAGATTATTTTCCAATTTATACTCATAAACTAAGCAAAATCGGTTATCAAATCCAACAATTCAATTTTTTTTTAATCCACAATTCCTTACTTTTCAAACTCATAAAGATTTCACAAAGCTTCATCTCTTTAATTAAACAAGCAAAACCAACCAACTTGAACTCTTTGGATTTTAAACATGCACCTAAATTGTAAATGATACAAAACAACAAATTAATTTTTTACCAAACTACTTATAGACAGAAAAGAAAGATGAGAGAGAAAGATGAGAGAGGTAGAGAGCGAGCGGTGGTGAGAGATAGTGGGTGGGGGAGTGATCGAATCTTGCTGCAGAATCAGGATCGACTAGGTTTCTCTTTTAGATGTAGGGGCTGTTCGGTTGAACTTGTGGAAGACTGGTCTTTCTCGGATGCAGGCTTCCGATTCGCGGTGCGGTCAATTGGTATGACACATTTTATTTTTCTTGATGAAGCTTTGATTGATTGGCTGCAAGGAGTGTTGCAGGTGGCATTGATGCAGGGTTGGAAGTTTTCTGGGAAAGATGTGAGACGCAGCGGGTCTCTAGTGATTCATGTTGGGGGTGTTCTTAAGAAGGGAGAGCGTTATCTTCGTGTATCAGAATCTTGCAGGACAGGACAAATTTTCTTTGTGTTGGTGCCTATGGATGATTTCACAATGGGCTGGTCGTCACTTCTTAAATCCATTCAGAGTTTGTCGAAAGGCATTCTTGAGAGACGGCGTCTCTCCACCGCATCGATTTCGTCTCAACGAATTGGTATTTCGAGAAAAGTAAACATGACGAGGGAGCGTTCTCACCCTTCTTTTGCTGATCTCTTCAAGGCGGTGGAGTGGCCAACTGGGGGAAATTGCTCCGCGCAGACGCGTAAAGGTTCTAAGGTCGTGGTGGTCTCGAACAAAGGGGTGAAGGATCAAGAGGATTTTCTCCGGTCATCTTTAATTTTGAGGTTGGTCGGGCGAGGTACTCCAATCTGGGAGGATTTTAGAAATTGGGTTCATAAACACTGGGGTATTTCATATACAAAGCTCCAACCCCTTAGTGATGGTCTCTGGTTAATGCCCTGTTCGTCGCCGGCGGAAGTGGACCGGGTTATGGCTCTTAATCGTTGGCATTATAAAGATTTGGGATTTCCTACGGTAACTTGAAGTAAGGTAACTTGAATTTTTTTACCTGCTATAGCAGGTTTCACAGGTCGTATTACGTAAAACACAATAGGCATTACGTAATGGTTACGTAACATATGATAATCTTACGTAACAGTTGTAAAATATCATTACGGAAGCCTTACGTAATAGAATGTGTCTTTACGTAATGAGTATTAACCTCGTGTTACGTAAAATGCAAAGTCATTACGGAAGTCTTACGTAACGCTACTGAATTAACTGTTACGTAAGAAATAAATGTCGTTTCGTAACCTTTACGTAATGGAAGGTCATTTTACGTAATGAGTATTAACCTTGCGTTACGTAAAGTGCTAAGTCATTACGGAAGCCTTACGTAACGCTTCCGATTTAACTGTTACGTAAGAAATAACTATCATTCCGTAACCTTTACGTAGTGAATGTGTATTTTACGTAACAGTTGTAAAATATCATTACGGAAGCCTTACGTAATAGAAGGTCTCTTTACGTAATGAGTATTAACCCTGCGTTACGTAAAGTGCTAAGTTATTACGGAAGCCTTACGTAACGCTTCTAATTCAATAAGAATTAAAAAAGGAAAGGTTAAAATATGGAAAGACAACTAAATGTGAAAAAAGGAAAGAAAAAAATTAAAAAAGGTAAGTTGGGAATGTAGTGACCGGCAACTCATGTTGCCATTTATTTTTTTAGTTATTTTTTCATTTTTTATTTCTTTAATCAATGGTTTAAAATAAGTGTGGCCAATTTTAACGGTTTAGATCTATGCAAGTTACCTAACTTAAAATTATACCCAAGTTACTGTAGGAGATCCCTAAAGATTTTCATATTTTGGCTGACTCTTGGATCGAAAATGCAGGGAGATCGAGTGTGATGCGTTCTCTTGGGGAAGTTTGGGTTCGGATTGATGGAATCCCCCTTCATTTACGTGAGCTTTTGGAACAACTTGGTAAGTTTTGTGGGGAGGTCAGAGAAGTTCAAGATCAAGGGGTTTCCCTTAATGAGATTAGAATCCGAATCATTCCCAACGAGGTGATCCCAGAGGAAATTCCTCTTTGCTTTGGAACTTTAGTTTTTCCCTTGAGAGTTACTGTGGAACCAATGGGTCCTCAACCTTCCATCGATTCCGGCGAACGCTTTCTTCATGGCTGGAAGGGAAAGGGGCGTGGTGTATACGTGCGGAGGAATAGAGTGGATGGCATGGAAATGGCTTCGGATGGCCCACGTACTGAGACATTAAGACCGATGGGTCAGATGGTTGCGTGTGAAGGGGTAGATGCAATGTTTCGTCAGGATAATGGCAGAAAAGCTTTAGTTGATGGTGATGGGTTTATACGGTCCCCAAGAGATGTCCCTCTGGCTTCTAGTGCTATTTCAAGGAGTGGTGATATTGTGGGAGGTGAGAATTTGTGTGGTCAAGATAATATGATGGTTGTTGAAAAGGGTGAAGGTAGCAAAGATGTGGATACGTTGGTGGGTTTGGAGTTGGTGGAAGAGGTGGTGGGGCAAAGGGTTGAAAGGGTTGGACAGGCCCACGGTTTTGCAAGAAAGGAAGAAGGTTTGGGAGTTGAGTTAGTTGGCCCAATCGTGGCCCTCTTCCCACATAAATTGATATCTATAAACCATGTATTGTTTCAGCTTTGGTGGGCTCTTTGTGCATGGCCCACTTTCATTTCTCCATGCCCATGTGATAGTTGGGATTTTAATGGCCCATTTCAGGTACCAGCCTTATGTTTTCAGCATCTGGACGTGGCTTATTTGATTAGAGACTCTACAGATGAAGATAGAAGAATGGAAGCCACAAGTTCACATGGATCAGAAGAGCTTGCAATGTTTCGGCTTAGTTGGTTTTTGTCCCAATTTGTTGATTTAAGGTTGGAAGAATCAAGTGAGTCCCCAGACATCGCAAGGGAAGAAACTCTTCATGAGGTGTTACTTAGAAGAAAAAAGACTACTTCTCGATCCCCTCAAGAAAGAGCTCTTCGCCAACTAGGAATCGAGGGGACTGATGTCACTGCCCTTGTGTCAGCAGGTCGTCCACGCAGGAATGGGTATGCTCCTCTTCGTCTTACTTATGATCCTTAAGTTGGTGTCTTGGAATGTTAGAAGTTTAAGGGATCCGGGGAAGCAATATTCCATTAGAGATTTTCTTGGTCCTATTCGACCTTCGATTTTTTGCTTCCAAGAAACAAAACTTGAAAGTTGCACGGATTCTATTGTTGGGGTACTTGGTGGTCGGTATGGAATGGGTTGGGTGGACAAACCATCGAGAGGTCTCTCAGGTGGTCTTTTGGTGGCTTGGGATAAGTTGGTGTTTAATACGGAATGTCATTGGGTGGGCAGGTTTTGTTTAGTGACAGTATTTACATGTCGAGATAATGGTTTTAAGTGGGTTTTGATTAATGTTTATGGACCGAATGACAGTAGTGAACGCCCGATTTTCTTTGATGAATTGACGTCATGCCTGTCTTGGTGGTCTTTTCCTGCTTGACGTCATTGGAGAGCACGCCCTTTTGGATCTCCCCATGCTCGGATATCAGTTCACTTGGTCAAATCAACAATCAAACCCTTCATTATCTCGCTTGGATAGGGTGTTGGTCTCTTCTGATTGGGAGAGTGAGTTCCCTCAATGTTGTTTGAAATCGTTTGTTAGAGTGGGTTCAGATCATTGTGCTCTTCTGTTGTCTTGCGGAGAAGAGCGAGTTATTCATCGACCATGGAGGTTTGAGTTTATGTGGGCTGACCATGATGATTTTGAGGTTCAGTTAGGTAATTGGTGGGTTGGCGAGATTGAGGGATTTGGGGTTTTCTTTAAGTGTGCCAAGAAACTAAAGCACTTGAAAGCATACATTAAAAAGTGGAATGTAGAGGTCTTCAAACACGTGGATCAGGAAATCAGTCTCATCCTTCAAAATATTGCAGAATTTGATTTGTTAGAAGAAGCCGGCGTTTGGTCAGAGGAAGATAGAGCACATCGTGTTATATTGAAATGTCATTTGGCTCGGTTATGGAAGAGAAAAGAAATTTCTTGGCGTCAGAAATCTGGTGAGACTTTGCTCAAGTGTGGGGATCAGAATACTTCCTTCTTTCACAAGGTTGCTAACTTTAATCGGAGAAGAAATTTTGTGGATAATATTTGGGTGGATGGGGTTCTTTGTTCGGGTCAAGCTCAAGTGGCAAGTGCTGTTGTGTCCTATTATGAGTCTATATTTCAAGAGGCTCGTCCTAGGAGACCTTTTCCCTTTGGTATTGAGTTTCCATCTCTTCCCCGGCATGCAATAAACTCCTTGTTGAAGACTTTCAATGAAGAGGAAGTGTGGAGGGTGATTAAGAAAAGTAAAGGGGAACATGCACCCGGGCCTGATGGTTTCCCAATGGGTTTTTTTAAGAAATTTTGGCGGATCGTGAAATCAGATGTGGTAAATGCTTTGAAAGAGTTCTATGTGACTGGGAGTCTGCCGAAGAGTGTTCACCACACATTCTTATGTCTTATACCCAAGAAGGAAGCTATCGGTGATATTCGAGATCTTAGACCTATTAGCTTGGTATCCAGTCTCTACAAGATTCTTTCAAAGGTGCTTATGGAAAGATTAAAGGTTTTCATTGGAGGCTTGGTGGCGGTTGAACAATGTGCCTTTGTGGGTGGTCGACAAATTTTGGATGCGATTCTTATTGCAAATGAGCTTATTGACTCGAGGAAGCGAGCTGGAAGACCAGGCTTAGTTTTCAAGTTGGATATCGAGAAGGCATACAATCACGTTAATTGGGAGTGCCTCTTTTCTGTCATGAAGAGGATGAGTTTCCCTGCTCTATGGATATCATGGATTCGAGGGTGTATCACTGCAACCACTTTCTCTGTTCTTGTGAATGGGGAAGCTTCTGGTTATTTTTCAAGCAAAAGAGGACTAAGGCAAGGAGATTCTCTTTCTCCCTTTCTTTTCATCCTGGTGATGGAGGTTCTATCTGGCATTTTGAGGACTTTACAGTCTCACGGTATGGTTGAGGGTTTCTTTATGAATGAAGGACTGAGAACAGGGGAAGTCACTCATATTCTTTATGCCGATGATACATTGTTATTTTGTGATGCATCAGAAGATCAGGTTCGTTCTCTCCTCACAGCCTTAGCTCTATTTGAAACAATTTCGGGTCTACGAGTGAATTTGCACAAGAGTTCTATGATGGTGGTCGGGGACGTAGAGAACCCATCACATTTTGCCAACATTTTTGGTTGCGAGTTAGGTTCTCTTCCGACTACCTACTTAGGATTGCCTTTGGGTTCCAAAGCAGCTTCTTTGTCAGTTTGGGAACCTATGATTAACAAAGTGCAAGCTCGATTAGCTTCTTGGAAGGCTAGGATGCTTTCCTTTGGCGGGAGGTTGGTGCTTTTGAAAAGTGTGCTTTCTAATCTCCCTATCTACTTTCTTTCCCTTTTTAGAGCTCCAACCTCGGTGATTGCTCGACTTGAGAAGATTTATAATGACTTTTTATGGTCAGGGGTGTTTGAGACTAAACGCTTGCATTTGGTCAAATGGGATATTGTGAAGACTCCAATCACTAGAGGCGGTTTGGGAGTCTTGGATCTCAGGAGTATGAACAGAGCCTTGTTGGGGAAATGGGCTTGGAGATTTGGAGTTGAGAGAAATTCGTGGTGGAGGAGGTTGATTGTTGCAAAGTGTGGTCAGGGTAGGTCCGAGTGGAGACCATGTTGGAATTTGGGTACATATGGTTGTTCTTTGTGGCGGGCAATTGTTAACGAAAGCTCTTACTTTTGGAAGGTTGCCTATGTCGATCCTGGTGGGGGTTATGGGGTATCTTTTTGGCATGATTCTTGGGTTCCTGGGAAACTTTTGGTGAGTGATTTTCCAAGGGTAGGGTCAGTTGCCCAATCCTTGGATGCTTTTGTTTCTGACGTGTTTTCTATGGTTGATAGGTCTTGGGAGATTCCTCTCTCTGTCTCTCTTAGGCGAGGCGCTGAAGCAGAACGTGTCCTATTGATGCAAACTTTGAGTGATCTTCCGCAACTATGGATCACCACAGGACCTGCACGCTTGGTGTGGCCTTTGGAGTCCTCTGAGGTCTTTTCGGTGCATTCGTTCGCTGCAAACCTTATTGAGAATAACTTTGGGGGTGACGTTGCTTTTCCTTTCAAGTTAGTTTGGAGTCCTGTCGTGCCCTCAAAGATCTGTTGCTTCATGTGGATGGTCTATCATGGAAATATTTCTACTTTGGACAACTTGAAAAGAAGAGGGATGATTCTTCCGAATTGGTGCATTCTTTGCAAATGCCATGAGGAGTCGATCTCACATATCTTCTACTTATGCCCATTTGCGGTTTCGATTTGGGAAAGCTTCAAAAAGGGATTTGATCTTCATGGCCCTTACCCTCCTTCCACTCGTGATTTTCTCATTGCTTGGCGAGGCTTGTGGTGTGATCAACGGTTTAGTGAATGCATTAAGTTGTTGCCCCATGCAGTACTTTGGTTCATCTGGTTGGAGAGAAACAATAGAATTTTTAGAGATGTTGATTCCTCCCCACAAGAGATCGGGAACAAGATTGTTCGTATGATCGGACGGTGGCTAAGAGTTTGTAGTCGGATCTCAGATGGACTATTTCACGAGTGGGTGACGACCGGGACAAAGCACCTTATTTGATCTTCGTTCTCTTTATGTTTTGTTTCGTTTTGCTGTTTTGCTTTTTCTCTCTCTCTCTGTTCTAGTCTTGTCGTTGTACCTAAATTTTAGAATACTTTTTTATTTTTATTTTTATTGTCGCTAGCTTGCTCTACTATTGGTTGAGCTGCTAGCAATTTTTTTCTAATAAATTTTTTTCATCATTCATCAAAAAACAAATTAATTTTACAGACACGATACGTTTTCAAATCATGTAAATCTTACACATAGGTAATGTAATCATTCCACCTCTTTTTACTTTTCCTTAGTCAATCTCCTCCTCCAAAAGTTCCCCAACCATGATTTCAAAATCCAAAACCATCCATCCTAATATCCCATATATACCACGTACGTCTTACCATTAAAATCAATTTATGAACCAAAAAGGTGACAACTAAAGGAGTTGCATATCTCCAAAAGTACGTTATATATGTACTCTCTAATGGCTTCTGTCCATCATGGCATGGGGACATGGAAGGATTTGTGGTGGATCATTGTTCAATGGTGAACAACCAAATCCCCTTTTTCTTGGTAAGCAATGTCTTTGTGTTGGTATTAACAACACGCAAAACAACCTCGGGACTACCCTACAAATACATATGCATGTACGTTGTCGGTGACAAAACCAAACCCTAAAAAAAGCCAAAATGCCCAAACTGTGTGTGTGTGTGAATTAGGCAGAAAAAGTTTGTATATATCGTTAAGCATTCCCATGCCCTTGTTGTTTTGGAACTCTTCATTTCGTGTTTTGTGCTTTGGGAAGAAAAGAAGAAAAAAACCCATCTCTTCAATTCTCTCTCACGTTCCCTTTAATTTAACCATTGCAGTCGCCAACTATAAGTAGATATAGATATCGAACCAGAAATCCTCTCGATCTCTGTGTGTCATCAAAGTGTTTTGAGTTCTAGTATATATGGAGCTTTGTAATACAGTTATTATGGTCACTGTTACATGGGCTTGTTTCTTCTTATCAATCCTCATTCCATCTGCTGCTTCTGCTCGCCATCACAGTCGTGCTGTGGTTTCGCCACTGTTGTTGCCAAGGAAGCTCAGAATGGTGGAGGAAGTTGCAGCAGCTGTAACTGTAAGTTCATGTGGAAGTGTGTTGATATTCCTACATTAATTTTTGTTACAGTTGCCAGCTGCTGATTTGCAGTTTTGTACTCCGTCACGACGTCGTTGCTGACTTCGAGTTTTTTCCCTTTCTTTTTTTTTTCTTTCTTTGGTTGAATGAAAAATAGATTCAAGTTCATCGAAACGACATTGTAGGCCATCATCAGGTTTCAACTCCTGATCCTAATGAACGGAAAAAAGACCATGCATCGTCGTCGATATCAGGTGTGTTCTGATACCTACATTTTTTTTTCATGTAACCAAAAGATTGTCTAATTTGTACGTCGAAAATTGAAATCTAAACTGTTACGTCGAGAGAAATACTTATTTGTACTGGTTGAACCCTTGGCCTAGTGGCGGGAAGCTATGCTTCGTTATGGTTATAGGTTCAAATAAATAGTTTCCAGCCATTTCCTTATGAACTAATTGAATACTGTGATTTCTGTTTGGTTCCCAGGAAAACTATACAATGAGAAGAAAGGAAAGGAGGAGTCAAGAACAGAGGACGAAGGGTTTTTGACCATGGATTATTCCCACGTCAAAAAAAGACGTCCAATCCATAACAAATCCTTCCCAGCTGGGCCTTAGAAATTAATTATATTATTATTTAAGTCCTGAAATTAATTATTAAATTTTGTATGCTCTTGTTATACACTAAATTATGTCAGCCGAACTCAGTTAGAAGTTAGCTAGCTAGGATAAGCTCAGGTTTTGCCTGTGATACTGTAACAGTGGAGTTGCTGATGATGTTTTAATTACTGTAATTATTATTATTAAATCAAGGAAATGGAGACATAAAAAAGTGTGTTGCCTTTCTGTTAACTACTGTTATTGGCCGACATCATTGAGCAAAACCCTGGGATTTGCAAGCAGAAACAGGAGCCTAAAAATGCCTCGAATTGGGGATTTCGCTACCTTTCACAAAAAGTTAATTGGTAAAATTGTTATATATTATATATATATATATATATATAAGATGAGGTTACACGTAAAGAAAGGATGTGATCTGGTGATTAAACAATGTGTTTGATTAAGGTGGTGGTGGTGGTTGTTATTTGGAGGGTACTTCATGGTACACCACTAATCACGTTCATCTGATGGTTAATCGGTTCTTAGTTTAATATGAATTATGAAATAGAATTTGTGTGGCTATATGGTTGAGACACGATCAGGGAGGTTTATAAAAAATTTTAATCTAGGTTTTTCATTTCCTGAGTCGAAGATTTTTTATCTTCTTGATATATTTGGTATTTGTAATAGATGCGAATTTTTAGTCTTGATATCTTTGGCAACAAAAAAAAAAAAAAAAGGTTTATTCCGATTAAACCTCGTACCGATAATTAAGCTGGTATTAGTTTTATTTGTAATAGTATGATGTACAATGCAAAAGACCTGATGAAGACTTCTACTTTAGGGCTTGCTTTACATTAGATGATGCAAAATGTGCGTTGGTGTCCTTGATCGGACGATCACTCCGGTTGCTTCCAGAGTATATCTATGAAACTAAACCTCTCCAAAAACCAGTTCTTCGCTTCTGAGTTCCTACTCTCGGCCACGCTAATGAACTTAATTAATAGGGGCTTACATTGCTGATTGTCCTGATGCACTCTTTTCGCAGAGGCGTATCAGTGAATATGGCTCTGATTAGATCCACCAGCAGAGCAACATTGTCTGAAAGCAGAAACAGAAAATCAAACTCAGTTCGATTAGAGAGAATTACACATTAGCTCCGACTTTGAGAAACCGCATCTGTGAAGTTCTCCGTTTTCCCAATCGGTAGTGATGGATTTCAAAGGCAGGTCGAGCAATTTTGCAATGTTGTTCATCAGGAGTGAGAAACCCCGGTCTGGGTTTTCATTTTGTAAGGAACATGATTAATAGTGGTGTCACAAAGTAGAGAAAAGTTGAAGAGACATTGCCTGAAAGCTTTCGGATCTTGCGTAAAGAGGGTATGAGATCATGAACTGAATCTATGGCTATGGGGGAATAGTCTTCTTCTTCGGGCTTGTTATTCTTGAATACGGCGGCAGAAACTATGGAATCCAACAGAGGACACACACATTCCAGCATCAGCTGGATTAGTCTTTGAAGCTGTGGGAAATGTATTGTTTGGACGAATTTGGACGGTGTTAGTAAAACGCATAGGCTATCTCAGAGGCAGGCGAACATCTCCAAATCTGCAACTGGTGCAAAATGAAGGCGCGGGCTTTAGTTTACCTCTAATATTTCCTCGGCTGCCATATCGTCTAGAAGGAGTATCTCCAGAGAGATTCTGGAAAGAACCGAGTCTAGAATTGTGCACGTCCTTTTTTTTTTATATGTTGAAGGTATCAAGAGTGGCTCCCATATAATTCGAACTTTTTCAAGGACAAAGACCACCTGATCTATGCTGAACTTTGCAGATTCAAATTGTTGCATCTGATGGGAGTTCTGGAAACCATCAGCTCCATCAATAGCCTGAGACAAGAAAAAGACAGTCATTGTGCATCAGAACAGCAAATTGATTGAAGTTATCAAGCTTCCTTTCTAGCTTCATGATTAAAAGTTCGAAGTTAGTATCATCATCATTTAGAAACCAAAAGTGGTAAAATAATAATGAAAGGATGACGATGAATATAGTTCTCCAAACAGTAACACATAAAAGAAGATAAATCTTTATCCTGAGTAATAACGACTAACCTTGACAGGAAAAACTGCTTCATACAGAAGTATTGCATCCTTAGAAGCACGATAAAATTCAGGTGCAACTTTTGGAGATGACAAGCAAACATCCTGGAACATGATTTGTCAAGGATAGCATAAAGTCAACCTCTGACAAAAGACTCCCATTCTTTAAAATATAAAGAGTGGGTACGCTTTATTGTCAAAATGCCTATTTACTGTTTCATTATTTGTCGTTTTCTGAATAGGGTCGAAGAGAACTTCCCCAACTATGCCAATTTGCCTGCCCTCGACCGAGACGGCCTTCCCCTCCCCAACATACGACCATGCTTCCGTACCCTCTCACCATCCCTTCACCCCCGCTCCAGAAATCCGCTGCCGCACGTCGTCTCCTGTCATCTCATCTCTCAGTGGCGCTCCATCAAGTTGTCAGTTCCTCACAATTCGCCCCGCACGCCACCGCCCGTATTTCTATGGTTGGTCAGTCATCGATTGCTTCACCACGCCACCTTCCTTCTGCTTTTACAGTGCTGCCCTCTCTCCACCAGTTGGCTTGGATTGTACTTGCCGAAGAGAAATGCTTTCCCCTCTTTTGCCATCCGCAATCCCCTAACCCTTCTTCTCTCTTGCAGCGCAAATCCTGAAAATTTCACTGTTGCGGTCGTCGTCGAACCCAAAGGAGGAAGACGAAATCGATTTATAGGAGGAGCATGGTGAGAATAAGGCGGCGAGAAGGAAGGGGAGTTGGTGGCCTCTTTTCATAACCTCCTCTCCGAGTATTTCGTCGGTACCACAAATCTCTGTTGGTTGTCATCTTCCGAAGGCCACCAAATTAGTGGATTCGTGAACTTATCATCTCCATCTGTCGGCCAAAAGAAGTAGCAGAGTACTTCTCAAGCCCTGTAAGTGGTTTCCCTCCTCATTCCCCATCTCTCTTTGTTTTGATGGTGGAAGAAGAATCACCAGGAACACGAGAAGCTTCAAAAGAAGAACACGGAGAAGAAGGAAAACAGGACGCTCTGATCTCATCCCCTTGGGTTTATGCTCCGGTGAGTTAGTCTTCATTCTCTTCTCTCATTTTAACTTCTACAACTGCGGAAACATTCTGTTCTATCTATGTACTTTTGCTCGACATCTTTCAACGTGCTTTTATTTGACCGGCCAGTTCATTGCTACGTTGTTCGTCACTGAGATGTTTGAATGTGTAATATGGAATTGTGGTTAGGGTGCAGATGTGAATTTTGGTGTTGCTCGGTTGAAATCAAAGAATTAGCGTGGAGTGATATCGTGTAGGCTAAGGATAGTGTATAGCACTCATATTTGTTAGTTGAGGTTATAGCATTGCTGAACTCTTAATGGGAATGCACATATATAATTTCTCAACAGTTTTTGGATTTGAATAATTTGTGCTTGCATTGGTTCTTCGATTGTTTTACATGATTAGATGATTATTGCTTATTGTGTTAATAAGCATTTAATGTTCAAATATTTGGCGTCAAGGTGTGTTGTACAATTTTGGCCAGTGGCCATGTATTCGTGGAAGAAGCTGATTACACTTTTCTCCCCAACTTACCTGTTTGCTGTGTCATTTTGTTTCCCAAGAATTCTTGCAAAATCAAAGGCAGGAGATCGAACTGTCGAGAGAGAGGGGATAAAGAAGCATTTTCTCTCCCGCCTTCACCCATAAATAATCAACTGTGAAGAATAGTTTTTTCCTACTTTCATTTTCTTGCCGTGCTGGTTGGTTCCTTTCACTCACAAAGTCAACAAGCCTTACTTAGTCACCTGTTACTGAGCCTTATGCAAAAGGAAGCAGTACACAGAGATGTGCTCTTGCTGCAGATCCTTTTATTAGCCTTCGAATGAGCGCATTTTTATGAGAGGTAAGCTGGTTTTCATAAGTTAATATAAAATCAACAAATTATTAGTGAACTTCTTTTGTAATTCCGTCCTTTTCTTCTTCTGTGAAGACTAATGAAATCCAGTTTGCAGGTGAACCCAGCCACAGGGTTGTTGCTGCTGCTTGAATGTCATAGCAGGCAATCAGAAGGTTGAATTGTTGTGATATGAAAGTCCTTTATGCTTATTTCATTTCTGCCGTTAAATAATAATTTTAATTTTAATGTCTTAAAAGCTTTATTTCAGTTGTTATGGAGGCTTTTCATAGCCTTTCATTTCCATCTGACAATAACATTCAGACATAAATAAATTAGTGCAAACATTATATTCGACAATTTTGGTCATCGTACTTTATCTTCTCAAGCAGTTAGAATAGCAAGTCAAACATAGTATATAGACCTAATACGACCATGTTATTTACTTAGAAGAGCCAGCTTATAAACTTCTTAACTTACAGGTTGTGTATCCTTTACTATTTTCCGTACATAGCACCCTGTGAATGTGATTGTTTTTGGCATGGCTAATTCATGTCATTTTTCACTTGAGCTGGTTTTTTTTTGTTTGTTTACGTTATTTTTACCTTTCACATTTTTTTTAAACCTGAAATTGACATCAGCCTTTACCTCTCAATTGAAGCTTATGCATGAAGATCAGAGCAGCAGGTATGGCGACAAGCAGAATGTAAGTTCCTTGATGTTCTGATCGTCTCCAATGCTCTCTGAAAGAAGAAGGAAACTCAGGAATCTGCAACCAATAGCATAGGTAAGTTCCCTGATATTTTGATCTCTCCAATACTTTAGGAAAGAAGAAGGAAATTCAGGAATCTTTAGCTAATATGGCTTTGAAGAATGTTATGTTTGTCGTACTCTTTCAGTATAACTAGATGGTTTTTGGTTGTGATACGTGGGAAAATCTTAGGCCACATCATCAAGACTTCGTCTCCTATGTTTTCTGAAAGAAGAACGAAGCTCGGGAATCTGCCGTCAATATAGCTTTTAAGAAGCTCATGTTTGTCATACTCTTACAGTATACCTAGATTGGTTTTTATTGTGATACGCGGGAACATTTAAGAAAACATCATCAAGACCCTGCAGGAGGACGGGAATGAATATACATAGGGAAATGTTGATGTCAAGTTGGCTGAACCCTATGACTTTTGCTGGGGGTTCAGCAGGCTGTCCAGATTGGCTATGAAGTGAGGAAGCAATTTTGGGAGGAAAAGATATGGCTCACCAATGAGATCATTCACAATCAACTGTTTATAAGGTTTGAACATCTGATGTTGGGTTTGAGAAGAAATGTTCTTTAATGTAGCATCCAGAATTCTGATGTTGGGTTTGAATGTGTTAGCTACTATTGAACTTAGGTTCAAAATAGCAGAACGATAATACAACAACCGTAGCCAACTGGTGTTCATCTTGAATGTGTTTGAATGTGTTAGGTACTACGAATCCTTAACAATCAGTATTTCTTCTCCCGATATATGCTTCAAAAAAGCAGAACGATGATACAACCCAAGTTTGTTGTCATTTGACTGTCCACCAAACCATTATGCTGCTCCAACTTTAGTTCCCACGGCGGAGCAACGGGTATTGATTCTAGTCAGATAATAAAAGGAGGCTCTAAATGATCGATATAGCTCTTTCTTTGCAATGTACCTTCAGTGTCGTCTGATGAACTAGAGCCATCAGCTTTGAAGCTGCTTCGGACACCAAACACCTACCTCTCTGACAGGAAAAGCAAATGGACAAGCCGATCAATAGACTCTGCAGCTACTCCTGCTCCATTTTTTGGTTGAGAACCCTTTCTCATAATCTCCTGCTCAGATGTTAGGTATTAAAAGCTGATAACATAGAGCTGGGAATAGAAATTACTGGTGCATTTCTAGGTTCTGGTCCTTCTGGAGTACTCACTTGAGGAACGGAGAAGTCACAATGTAAGAGAAAATCTCTAGCCTTAGCCAATATTTCGGTCCTTTTTCGAGAAGCAAAATGAACTTCGACATTTTCGGAAAAGTTGCTTAACTTGAGGTCTGACTGATCAGAAGTTGAAATGAATTTTAAGTTCTTTTAAAGCAGTTTCAAACTCTGATGAGCTTTTCACGATTCTCTGAAAGCCAGCAAGTTTTGAAGCATCGTTGGGAACAGCCTGAAAGAAAATTAGAAAGAACTTTTCACTATTGATATGCAAAAATATTGCATCAATAACCAAAGACATGAACGCATTTCCCAACCAGATGATTATATATGATGAACAACCAAAACATCATTTGTGTTGAAGGCATTATCTTCAAAATAAGTCACTAGAATCAATTTTCTACTCTTCATCTAGTACCCATGCCTGGAAAAATGATAAACATCATGGACAGTTTTGCTGTATCCATATTGTAATCCTAGTTTGATTCAAGTGTTTGTGATAATGTCTCAAAAGAAAATTCGTAGAAAAAGAACAGCGAGAAGAAACTACTAATCACAATAATGGCAAAGTAAGGAAAAGAGAAAATCGCAGAAAAGACCCAGAATTGTGGAACCAACCTTTGAGAGGAAGTTAGAAATGATCAGCTCAGCTATCCTAGGGCATGCCAGTCTTCCAAAAAACCGAACCCAGGATTCCTTTTCTAGGCATATGCATTTTGAAAGAAATGTCACAACCTGAAGAACGCTGGAATAAATTGTCTAACCATCCACATCTTCCGTCTGATTACTAACAGTGTAAAAATCAATGTTTCACATGGCGTATAACATAATGGCGAAACAATTTTACAACTGGGGGAAAATCGCAATCTTATGAACATGCATATACAAGAATGTGATCATATAAATGCATCAAGAACTTTGCTTTCACATTCCGAATTCATGGCCACCTACAAGAAATCTGGATTGTACAAGTTATATATTCACACTTCCATTGCTTGCAAAACATCTCTCAAGTTCCACTCCTTCAAGAGCATCAACAGTCAAACGATACCAAACTCGAACTCTGCACGATTCTAGCTCCAGCTGCACTGCTTTCTCCATCAACTTGACTAGCATACCTTGAATCTACAACTCCAAATCCAATTATCTTATATGTAAAAGCGGGCTACGCTTTATTGGGCCAAACTTCAACTACTGTTTCATTATTTGTCGCCTTCTGAATGGAGCTCCAGAGAACTCGCCCAACTTCGCCAATTTTACCCGCCCTCGGCCAAGATAGCCTTTCCCGCCTTCCAAAGAGATGACCATGCTTCCGTACCCTCTCACCATCCTTTCACCCCCACTCCAGAAATCCGCTGCCGCACGTCGTCTCCTATCATCTCATCTCTCACTGGTGCTTCACCGAGCTGTCAGTTCCTCACATTTCCTCCCGCACGCCATCGTCCGTGCTTCTCTGGTCAATCATGGATTGCTTCACCATGCCACCTTCCTTCTGTTTCTATAGTGCTTTCGATTGTACTTGACGGGAGAGAAATGCTTTTCCCTCTTTCCCCATCCATAATCCCCTTCTTCTCTCTGGCAACGCAAATCAAAGAAATTTCACTATTGTTGCCGTCGTCGAACCCAAAGAGGAGGAAGACGAGATCGATTTGAACATGACGAGCATGGTCAGAATAAGGCGACGAGAAGGAAGGGGAGTTGGTAGACTCTTTTCATAACTTCTTCCTTCCTTGGATTTCGTCGGTGTTGGTTGTCTGTCTTCTGAAGGTCACCAAACCAGGGGAGTCATGGACTTATCATCTCCATCCGTCGGGCAGAAGAGTCATCCGCCAGGCACAGGCAGTGTGCCATCGCGGAGTACTTCTCGCTCCCTGGAAGTTGTTCCCCTACTCATTCCCATCCCTCATTAGAAGTTGAAAAAGAACACAGAGAAGAAGGAAAAGAAGACGCTCTGATCTCATCCCCTTGCCTTCAACGAGTGAGTTTTCATTCTTGATTCTCCCCTCTCCTTTGACTTCTTCAACTTCGGAAACCTTATGCCCTATCTATGTACTTTGCTTGGTGTCTTTTACGTGTATCTCAAGCTCTTCCTCTTTCATGATGTACTTTTACTTGACCAGTTCATTGCTACGTTGTTAGCCGTTGAGATTTTTGAATATGTAATATGGAATAGTGGTTAGGTTGCAAATGTGAATTCTGGTGTTGCTCGGTTCAAATTAGATAATTAGCGTGGATTGATATGGTGTGGGCAATGGATAGTGTATAACATTCTGATGTGTGTTTCTTTCTTTTAGGATCTTCATTCGGTAGGAGAAAGCTGCTGACTAAATTTGAAACAAGGAGTAATCGAGTGAAGGGATCAAGTTCCCACAGAGGCCATGGATCCTGGCCAATCTCGCAGTGGTCTCACCCAACTATGGAACTACTGTATGGGGACTCTGATTAATCGGTTTGATGAGCATCATTTTCCTATGAGGTGTCCTTTCCACAAATCTCGATCTCTCTTTGTATCAGGAGGTACTCTATCGTTTCTAGTTCCGAATTCAACTTTTGAAAGTTATTTGTTTGTGAGGTGATAGGCTAGCATTGGTGAACTCTTAATGGGAATACCCATATATAATTTCTCAACATTTCTTTGATTTGTTTGTCCTTGCATGGATGATTCTTAATGGGACCATTGTCTTTTGCTGATTATTTTGCTCAAAATCTTGAGGTCAGCCTTTTACCTCTTAATTGAAGCTTACACATGAAGATCACAACAGCAGCCAGCAGGTATGGTGACGAGCAGAAAGCGAGTTCCTTGATGTTTCGATCATCTCCAATACTTTTGCAAAGAAGAAGGAAGCTCAGGAATCTGCCACCAATATGGCTTTCAAGAATGTTTTGTTTGTAGTACTCTTTCAGTATAGCTAGATGGGTTTTGGTTGTGATACACGAGAAAAGTTTAGGCCACATCATCAGGACTTCGTCTCCTAAGCTTTCAGAAAGAAGAAGGAAGCTCAGGAATCTGCAGTCAATATAGCTTTCAAGAAGCTCCTGTTTGTCGTATCTTTCAGTATACCTGGATTGTTTTAGACTGTGATGTGGGGGAACATTGCAGGCAACATCATCAAGACCCTGCAGGAGGACAGGAACCGAGTGTACATGGGAAATGTTTCTCTTACCACCAGCATCCCGCTAAATGGGCTGACGAGCAACAAGTATGTCGTAGCTTTATCGAAGCTCAAACCAGCGGTGGTGCAGATGAAGCAGAACATGTACAAGAACAATCAAATCGCTCACGAGGTCGAAAAGAAAGCGTCTCAAATGCATCGAGCCTACCTGGGGCCAAGTCCAGGCTGAATAACACCCTCGATGAGAATGTAAGTAGAAGGGACTCTTCTCTATCCAATTCTTGGTTTCGTATAGAGAAGAAAGCACATTTGAATCTGCAGATTGATTGTTTTCAGTGCTATGCTGCTGGACCTTCTTGGTACTGTGGCATTTTCTTTCTTTTGCTTTTACCTTCTACCTTTTCAATTATTATGGTTCCTTAATTTTGTACTTGAATGGTTGGTTTGGTTAGAGAACCAATGGTGGATAAGATCAAATTATTGGGAGTTCAATTATCTTTTGGATTAGCCATTACCAAATAGTTCCCTGGGTAGAAAGTTACCGTTTGAATATTATCAATTGTGTTAAATGTCTTCGAAAGTTTTCTATCCATAACACATCAGGTTATTACTTTTACCATTACCAAATAATTAAGTACTGCAGATTGCTTTATTAAACTTCTCTTACACTGCTAGGCTTCTGATTTGCCGCTTCCTTCTGTTTTATTACCATAAACATGATTGATGTATATTATAATCAATTTCTTTGCTTCCTTTTATATAGGTGTTGCAACGTGAGCCAACGAAGGCAAGTGTTCAAGCCATGGAAATGTCTCCCTGACAATCCTTGAAATATTGGCATGTCTCACCGTCTGCAGTTGCACAATTATGATACTAGAGATAATAGCTTCGATGAGCAAGTAAGTTGTCCTTCTGCAGTCATAAGTAATAATGCCAGTGATCTTTACATGATTCACCAGCTTAATTCGACCGGTAAATGGACAAAATGGTTTTTGCTCTACTGTCAAATGTGAATCTCTTTTCTTCTTTTATCATTTTGTATTGCATGCCAAAATTACTCATTATATGAATGAGAGAGCATTCTTTTTTATTAATGGTACTACATTGTGCAATGTGGAGCTAAAGCACATGCATACATTAGTGCATGGTCAACTCTTTTTGTTAAAAAAAAGGACTTCCCCCAACTACTATCTTCTTTCGTGGGTGAAATGCGAGCCAAGGTACGAACATTTGTTGATTGGAGTGTTGTTTTGCGGTTGGTTACGGTTATTTTACCAAGCTGCTTACCGTAAGATGTATGTTTTAACGGCAGGATATGGTTAAGAACTTTCTATGCCATGGAATTAAGGAAATGAGAAGCCTTATTGCTTCGCAAAACACGGGCAAATGTTTTATCTTCATCATCGGGCCACGTTAAAATCCTGCATGTTTTATGATGATGGGACTGTAACTCAAAACATATTTTGCTTCAATGGTATACTTTTAGTGTTCATGTACACTTCGGATGCTACAACTACTATTTTTATTTCCTAATACATGGAACAACAACTATTTGTATTTCCTAAGACATAAAAAATGATAACGAAGCGTGTTTTTTGACAATTATTTGCTTTTCACTTTCTCTTTCAGAATGTGGAGCTCATTGGCAAAAATGTATGTCAACAAGAGTATAATGCTAATTACCAGTGGAACTCAAGATAACAAGGTCTCCTAAACACACTTCTGATACTTTGAATCCCACACGAATGATCACAAACTCAGGCAATGGTTCGATCCGCCCACTTGTCGGGCCATTAAAGAAATTCCTCTGCCCCGTCGAGATATGGAGGATAAATTAATTTGGGATGGGACAGCGGATGGAGTGTTCTCGGTTAAATCGGCGTACCATCTCGCGGTTAATGTGGACAAGCGGTGTGAGGGAAGGAAGGCTACGGTGAGCTGGATGGATAAAGCAAGCTGGGTCCGGTTATGGACGGCTAAGATTCCCCCTAAGCTGAAAGTCTTTGTCTGGCAGATTCTTAATCGAATCTTGCCTACTACTGAGGGCCTTATTACCCGGGATGTTCCGGTGCTCCCTAGGTGTCCGGTTTGCTGGGCTGAATCGGAAACGATGGAATATTTGTTTCTTGATTGCCCGGTGGCGCGAGCTTTATGGGAGTTTTCTGGGCTGGATTATGTAGGGGAGGGTCTACCCCGGCACACTTTCCCGCTGTTCCTTAAAAAGGTGATGGGCTTGATTGACCAGCCCCAGTTGTTCATGGCGGTGGTGGCCATCCTGTGGCGGATTTGGCGTTCACGAAATTGGGTGGTTTTTGAGGGTAAACAGTTTGGTTTTCCGGCCCTAATGCGCCAGTTTAACCAGCAATAAGAAGAGTGGGTGCGCTTGCCGAGGGATGAGGTTTCCCGTTCGTTGGGGACGGTGGAAGAGGGTGTGAGGATCGATGTAGCGGGGAGGGCCGTTTGCATGTGGGATGGGGCAGTTCGGCCTGGTTCTCATTCAGCCGGTGGGATGGTCCTGTTCTCCCCTGCTCGGGAGATCATTTTTGTCAAAGGGGTCCACGTCCCTAATGTGGGAGATCCGATGACGGTAGAGCTTCTGGTCCTTAGGGAGGCGGTCTCTTGGTGTCTGGCGAATGGCTTCACTAATGTCGTATTCGAGGGAGATGCAAAGGTAGTCATTGATAAAATCAACCAAGGGGAGACCAGAGACAATCGGGTGGGTGCTGTTTTGGAAGAGGTCTTAATGTGTTTTCGCACTCACCCAGGGTTGGCTGTTCGATTTGTAGGTCGGCGTAGTAATAGGGTAGCCCATTTGGTGGCTAGGAAAGCCCTCTCTTTGTACCCGATCATGGATCGTAACTTTGATTTTCAGGCCTGGCTGAACTCCAGGGTGTAACTATCCTTTTATTATCAATACATAATATCTTTTGTCAAAAAAAAAAAAAAAAAAAATCCCACACCAATGCTAATAATACGACCGCATTTTGTGTCCCCTAAACTGTTCATAATACGATCATTCTACTGCAACTTTAGTTCCAGCGGCTTAGCAGCGGGCATTGATTGTAGTTTCATCTAAAACACAACCACGTACAACTGGAATAAGAGAACAGGCAAAACCATCAACAAACAGCAATCATCTCACTCTCACTCTCACCTCCTCGAAGCAGGCCAGCCAGTCCTTCCTCAGCAAGCCATAGACCAAAGGTTCGCCACCTTCCTCGTCACCAATCCTCAGCACATCCTTCAGCACTTCAATTCCTCGGCAGCCATAAGCAGCCTGCCAAGCTTCACTCGTTCCTTCACTCCTTTCAACCTGTCGCTAATCTGCACAATTGCGTTCACCAATTCAAGCGATTCCTTCTTCACCTTCGCCTCGCTTAGCTTCCGCCTCAGCTCTTCGAGAATTGCCCTGATTTCGACGTCCATGGGAGTGTCCGACAAGAGAGACGAGAGATCAGAAACTTTCCGGTCGATTTCGACGGTCCAAGACGCGGCGTCGCTGCAGAGCTGGAAGAGAGAGGAGAACTCGCCGTGGTGAGCGCTGAGGTAGGATTGAACTTTGGGTTTGATCCGGAGCGAGTGAGACTCGAGACGAGTTATGAGGAGGCGTAAATCCGGCGCGGAGAGCGGGCATGTTTGGTCCGTGAGGTCGCCGGCGGAGAGGAGATCTCGCGCATTGATTGAATCGAACAGGGCATCCATTGTTGAGACTGCAAATTCATTTCCGCCGGCTGCAAGCAAGCGGTGGCCGGAGAAGAAAAGTGAAGCGGGAGTGGAAAAGAAAAGTTGAGAGTTAGGTTACCCAATTTAGGGGTAAATTGGTTGAATTACCGCTTTGTACAATGATTCCGATGGCCAAGCCTATTCCTCTCTAGAAACAGAGAGATGCCTTCCTTCCTTCCTACAAATAACCAGCTCCACCGAAGCCCTCCAACTCCATTCATCAACCACCCTCGAGACTCGCCAGATAATTAAACATTCGGTGCAAAGATGAGCGGCGGCCAGAGATCCTGGGCTAATCTTCACCCAGAAGTCCTGAATCTGATTCGCCAGAGATTACTTCGAGAAGACTACTTAAACTTCCGAGCCACCTGCCAAAACTGGAACTTCAAAGCCCTCTTCGATCCACTCGTCTACGAGAATCTCAAACACCCCTTCTTGCTCAACTTCTCTAAACATCACGACGACGACCAAGGCCCGTCTTCTTGCTGTGAAGCCTATTCTTACGCTTACAACAAGTCGTACCACATCCGGGCAAACGCAAAGCTAACCGACGCTCAAATCCACTGCTCCAGCTATGGTTGGCTGCTCTGTTCCAGAGGCCGCCGCACCTTCTTCTACCATCCTTCCACCGAGAGCAAAATCAACCTGCCGCTGTTCGAACCCGGTCAGTACTTCACCTTCAACCGGATGGGCTTCTCTGCTCCGCCTACCTCTCCCGACTGCGTGGTTTTTGCTCTGCTGGACATGTACTGCGACAAGAGCGTCTACACAGCGTTCACCCAACGAGGGCGTCGTTCGTGGACGCACTCCGGCGATGATCCCGTCCCAAACCTCATGAGATGGGCGATTCATCGCTCCAGGAAGCTCATATTTACGAGCGACAGACAACAACCACCGAAGGTGATGGTTGTCCGCGACAGATACAAAGTGAACCCCGCCAAGTGCCTCTGCATCGGGGAATTCCTGTGGTCTAACTCCTGCTGTCCTCCGGTTTTCTACAAGGGAGCTTTCTGCTGCCTGGCGCAAGACGGGAGGCTGGGAGTTTTCAAGCACAAGAGAAACCTGTGGGGGCTGTTCGACAGGACGTGCAGGCCGGATTTGTTCGCGGATAACCCCCGCAACGAGTGTTACTTGATGGAGTGCAGGGGAGATTTGATGTCGATCGTGGTCGGTCCGATGGGAGAATTCGTCAGGGTCCTCAGGTTTTGCGAGCCCCGGAGGACGTGGCAGGTCGCGTACCATGTCAAGGACCAGATGGTCTTTTTGAGCCCCGCGGGCTGCGTGGTCCTGCCCTGCGACGACGAGGCTCTGAAGAACACGATTCACTTTCCGAGATTTGGCCGTGGAAACCGCCATGTGTTCTATTCGCTCTCGACCGAGCGATTCCACTCCTTGAAACTGGGTATCCGTGTGGCGACGACGACTTGCGCGACACGAAACTCCTGCTGAATCGCGCTTGGGTGGTCCCGAGTTTCGACTTCTTTTCTGGTCCGGATCTAGATTGGTCGTCAGAACCCCGACTAGAGCGTCGTGTACATCCACATTATGTCATCCGAAACTCGACTTTCCTATCATCGAGTGGTGCGTTCAAGTCCGGGCAATTAGATGAAGCTGTTGAAAAGAGGATGGTGGAAGAAACATCGCCAACAACAACGCAACCATGTCTAGTCTTGTCAAACGACGAGGGTGAAAAGGTGTTGGTTAACTTGGCCAAGGGGGCAACGGTCAACCACTCTAGAAACGTAGAACTAGCAGCAAAAATGAGAGGGAAGAATGTTTATATGAGTAGCAATTATGGCCCGCTAGTGTTAATGGACGATGAAGCTCGTAGGTGTTGTTTGTTGGATCCGGTATCTATGATCGAAACCCTACTACCAAGTACCAACATGGGAGAGGCATGTAAATTGCTCCTCGATTGTGTTCCTTTTACCCCCTGGTGAGTCCAAGTTTGTTTTGATGGTTTTTGGTAAATTTGACAGTGGTCATAATTCAGAAGAAGATGAATTGGAGGAGGAGGAGGAAGAAGTAGAGGTTTTGGGTAAATTTGAGAGTGCTCATAAACTAGAAGAAGATGAGGAGGAGGAAGAAGTAAAAGTGAAGAACGATGCCATTGTAATGCTTTGGCGAGATGGTGACAAACAATGGACAGTAGTTCACTCACCACCAGACGAGCAAGGATTTGAATTAATCGGGGGAGTGGTTTTCCACCAAGGCAAGGTTTACGGGTATCCAAAAGAGACAATTGATTTGGTTTCGATCGAACTGGAGCCAGAAAGGTACACAACGAAAATCGTGCCGGAAGTTGATTTTCGGAGGAATTTTAATGGATCAAACGCTTTAGTGCGATTGCTGGTAGAATTGGACGGCGAACTCTATCTGTTCGTCAAATATGAAGCTGGTTGTACTTGGACCAAACAGGTCGACATTGCTATGGATATACGAGTGTTCAAATTGGACTCGGAGATGATGAGATGGATAAAGGTCGACGATTTAGGCGATCGAGCATATTTTTGGAGTAGTTGGGGTTGTTATCAATGTTGTGCTAGTAAATTGGGACTTGAAAGAAACACCATTTACTTCATAAGTCAAGAGAAAGACTTGTACATATTCGACTATGGGGAACGTAGCATTACGGGTTTCCGGCCGGCTGCTTCAGGAGACGTTGATGATGACAATTGGTTTCCAGATGGATTCATTATGTGCCGCTACCAGTAGCTCTAAGGGAGCAAAGTTATAGTATTGTTCAGCCCTCAATTTTCCCCCCTTTTTATATGAGCATTTGTCCCTTTTTTTTCATTGATCTTTGTTGGGCTGAATTTTCTCTGTTACTTGGATGGTATCTCATGGGTAAACTGTTCGGATTTGGTGAATAATTGATTTCGTTACTAATTCACCCTAACTAAATTCATTAACTTATATCTCATTCGTATTAACTTTTAACTTTTAAGTCGGCATTAAAATTTATTCGGAAGAAAAAAAATATCGGATATTTGTGTTAAAAATGACATTCATTTTGATGTATTTGTGAAAAAAATTGTAGTATATATTAACACCCTATACCATGATGATATAGGTGGCAATTTGAATTTTCTATCCAATCTACCAATCCAATTCAATCCATCTACTTAAATATCTAACTAATTGAATCCATTTTATCAAAATTCAATTGATTCGCAGATTGTTGACAAATTGTACTTTAGTACCTATAATTTTTATGTTTTTCAATTTGGTACCTGAATTTTATTTCTTGATGAAAAATATCATTAGAAAATAATATTTTCGGTACCTTTTTTTTGACATTTTGTTACCCAAATCTGTAGGGCCAACGGATGAGATTTGCAATACATGTTTTGGATCTTCAAATGATAGAGTTAGACAAATCTCGTAGGTGTTGCTTTTAGATAGCAACCCCAAAATCACGACTCGTATCTTTTTTAAAATATTCAGTTTTTTTTATTGTGAATCTTTTTTTAATAAAATTTTTTACTTTCGCAATAAGCTATTGTATGTTTGAGACATTAAGTGTTTTATTTAGTAAAAAATCTAAAGAAAATCTTAGAACAACTGAGATTTTGACCATCATAATAGTCATGAACTATCCTCATACGTTAATGTCAGCTCTTAACAATCACAACTATTATCGGAAACGTATTAGTTATTAATGAATTATTATTTAATAATTTATATTTTTTAATTATTACATTGTTGACCATAAAGTTTGAATCCAATATGCGATGAATTCAATACTATCAATAAGACAATCTCTTGGAGTCTCTCGCTACTACTATGAGTCTACAATGCATAATTTTCTTAGTTTCTTTTGGATTTAATAAAAAACAAGTTAATAATACCAAATCTTATGAAACCCAACTTTTAAAAAGATTTATGCTAACAATAAGAAGTACACTAATTTCTTATGAAATGTGAAAATATATAAACAACAATAAGTTAGGATTATATGATCCATAAATATACATATATAAATTAATCAACACCAATGTCATACTAAAAAAATAATAAAAATATTACTTTAAAATTATTAATAAACTATTTAAAGTATCAAATTCATCTAAAAAATATAAATGAATTGAATTACACAAAATAATAACAAATAAACAAATTTTATCGTGCCAACAGGTCGGGTAAAACTAATTTATTATATTATCATTATATATTTAAATTTTATTATATGTCGTCGGTTTTCTAAATTGATTATTGATTTGTAAATAAGACGGGAAGTTACAGAGGCAGCATAACTGAATAGAAAAATGAACGTAGAATCAATGTTATATTATTGGTTCAAGATTAATACAATTTCCTTAGTGGACCTTGAGCTATAAAGTTATAGTTAACAAAATAATCAATCTTTAAAACTTAAGTTGAAAAAACAATTTCAAAACCACTATATTGTCACAATAATAATGTGTAACTGGAGTAGGCTTGGCAACGTGGCGGATCGGGGGCAGGGTACCCTGTATTGGCCTCCCGCCCACGATGGGCTTCAGGTTTTCCCGTCCCCAGCCCAAACGATGATACGGGTCTGGTAGTGGCACCAAACCCGTTACCGCTAGGTTTTCGGGTGACCGCGGGTCTAAGATACCCGCTATGATAAAATAAAAAAACTTAATATTTGAAAAAAAACATAACATGTAACTTTATTCTGAATAATTGAAGTCTGAATTCTGAAACTGTCACTATCAGCAAAAAGAACTCATGAACTTAATGAAGTTGCAATCAACAACAACAATTTTAAATCATCCAAACTTGAAATCAACAAAAACAATCCATTTTCAGCACCATGATTGTCGAGTCTTATTCAAAATCCAAAGCAAGAACAACTAGCTTATTAAGGCTAAAAAAACTCCAAGCCATCCTAACTATTGAGTGCAAATGTTACAGCAGCCTTCCTTCGAGCAAGATGCAGCTTCAAGCCATCCTAACTTTTGTTGAGTCTTATTCCAAAGCAAGTAACGACAATCAACATTCATTAATTGCAAGTCTGCACAAACATTCAAGTAAACATTCTTAAGTTCCTAATCCTAACAATTAACAACAACATCGAGTTCTTACACCACAAGAGAAGAAGATTTTAAGTTATACCTGGCTCGACAGATGAAAATGGATCAGTCTTCCTGGCCAAATGGTGATCTCAAGAACACCATTTTTGGACCTGAAAATCAGGTAGCAAATCAGATAAGTTCAACCTCAAATCTCAATGAATAGAGTTAGAAAGTTTAGAAAAGGAGAAGTGATTTTCTTACCCCCCAGGTTCTGCCTCCTCCACAGTCGTATCCTCGACTGACAGGGCTGAGAAGACTCCCTCCTGTACGTGGGCACGGCACGGTTAGAGCACGGGCACGAAATAAATGGGCCAGCCCCGCATGAGCACGAATAATTTATGGGCCGTGCCGGGCCTAAACTTCATGGGGACGGGCCGGGCACGACACGGGCACGAGCACGACACGGGCACGAGCACCGGCACGGGCACGGCACGGGCACGAGCACGGGCACGGCACGGGCACTGGCACGGCACTGGCACGAGCACGGGCACAAACACGGCACGGTATATAAGTGGGCCGTGTCGGGCCTAATATTTTCGAGACTTTATTGAGTATAAGAACAGACATGGCACGAAAATAATATATATGTGATAGAAAATAAATATAAAAAAATTATAGGTTCAAATATTACAAAACACAAGTAGAAAAATAATTATTTGTTGTTGTTAGAAGTGTCATAAAGATATATACGTAATTACTAACATGAGTAAAAATGGAAAAAGAATTAAACAAAGCTAAATCACACTCGCTATACTTCCAATTTTCTTTTCCCCCTTATTTGTTACTTTTCTCAAACATTATCAGTTAATACTATCTTCCCCCGTCCAATTTTCACCTTCCTTTTCATTCTCTCTTTTGTTTTCGTCCTTTTCATTAAACATGAACACAGCCATGGTACGAGCACGAATAGGCACGACACGATTCGAACCGTGCCCGGGCCTGGGGCTGGCCTAGCAAAGTTAACAAATGGCCTTGCATGGCACGACATGAAAACTGACGGGGGCTCGACACGAAATAAATGGGCTCGAAGCGTGTATGTGTCGTGCCGGCCCAAGCACGGCCCAGCCCCCATGTACACTCCCTCCAATGCGTCCACAACATCAGCAGCCTCCAAATCTGTAGATAGAAATGAAAAAAATATTATTTACACTTAAACAAAATTAGTCGTACTAAAATTTGGAGGTTTAGTTGCATGTTACCTCGTTGCATGTCTTCCAAAATCCAACTTCGTGTGCACATCATTGATTCAATAGTTGAATAATGAAGCCTGCTTCGGTGAGGGTCTAAAAACCTCCCACCATAACTGAATGCACTTTCAAAAGCAACAGATGTAATTGGGATTGTCAAAAAGTCCATAGCAATTGCTTACAAGGTGGGATACTTGAGATCGTTAAGTTTCCACTATAAGATCATATCAAAGACCGTTGTCGAGGGACCGAGAGATGATGTGCACATGATGGAGGGCAATATGAGGTGAAAAGGATATTTGAATCCAAAGCAGAGATGACCCAAGAAGTTATTACTCTTAAGGTTTGAACCTTGGTTGTGGTTTACGACCCTCAAAATAGGCAGGAAAAATTGAGATTCATATCTGAGATACAAGACTTATGCATGCAATCAGTTCTGCCTACTTGTCTTGTCAGTGATTTCAACCTCATAAGAAGCCACGAGGACTATGAAAGAGCGAGAAGAAGTTCTGAACTTATGATTGAGTTCAATGATATGATTGACGATTGTGCTCTGCTTGAATTACCCTTGGTTGGGAGGTAGTAGGTTTACTTGGAGCAACGGGTGGGATCAGGGAGATTTTTCCAGAAATAGCACTGTTTAATTTTTTTTTCTAAAAATAGCACCCAACTCCGAAAAATTCCAAAAATAGCACCATTTTTGTAAAACCGCCACCCGGAGGTGCGTTTTTCGATGAAAACGCCACCCGAGGGCGCGTTTTTAGATGAAACCCGCACTGGTAAGGAGCGGTTTTGCAGACCGCATCCCCAGGGTGCGTTTTTGGTTGCAAACCGCACCCCCAGGGTGCGTTCTGCCTTTTTTTTTTTTTTTGCAAACCGCACCCCCAGGGTGCGTTCTGCCTTTTTTTTTTTGCAAACCGCACCCCCAGGGTGCGATCTGCTTTTTTTTTTTTTTTTTTTTTGAAAAATCCTTAGGTGGAAACTTCAAACGAACGTATCTTTATGTTCGGGTATCCGATCGTCGCGATTTTTTTTTTTATTCCGCATAACTTTTTGAGATCTTGCAAGCCGAAGACTGCCAAAGGTGGTTTGGTCTCGCCTTCGTCCCAAAAAATGTCGTTTGCTACCCTGAACGAGGGAAATTTTTAAGGAATACAACTTTTATCATAGACATAATTTCAAAATGTACGTGGATTGCTGAGAAGGGAAGATAAGCTATTCCCAAAATCCTGTATATCCAAAAATAATTCCTGTTTTGAAAATACATTCCTAGTAAAAATTGTAGTCCTTAAAAAGTTATGCGAAATAAAAAAAAAAAATCATGTCGTTTGGATTTGGAGCACAAAGTTACGGTTGTCCAAAGTTTGACGAAATCGGAAAAAAGCTCGTTCGGGGTAGCAAACGACATTTTTTTGTATGAAGGCGAGACCAAACCACCTTTGGCAGTCTTCGGCTTGCAAGATCTCAA